TATCGGGGTTTCCTTGAATATCAGTGGGCAAGCAGGTCCTTTAAACGCAATGAAGTAAATGAGGCGTTACGTCTTTTAACTTGGGGATAATGCTCTTGTAAAGCTTACTTCTTACAGAGCCAAGGCTTCGGCATGTGCTGCACCTGTACGCTCAAAGAATGTGCCATTCGGTAAAATCTTCATCAGTCATTTCTAGTTCATAACTGCTTGTCAGGAGTCTCCCTTCATCCGCGAGTAACTTCTCTTGCAACCAAATGCGGGCCAGCACTTTACGCGCTGTAGCTTACTGTGAACTCAGTGCAGAGAAGTCCTTGGGAGTCTGAGTCTCCTCATTAAGCAGTTAATTCTGGAGCTGACACGATGCTTTTCCTATTTCCATGATACTTTTCATATTTTTCCTATCAGAGCTATTATCCAAATGCGCAAGTAGCAGCATACTTTCAGTATTTAGTACAAAATATAGTTATTCTCTTGAAATAAATGAAGCAAAATTTAAAAGTGGACATAACTATCAACATATATCACAGCATATATGTATATACATATATGTATAACATACCCCCGTGTCCCCCCAAGAAAACAATGTCTGGTTGTAAGTGAACTCCAATAATTTTATAATGCCAGTATACGAAAAGCCCAAGTAATCTGTTTTAAATGCTAACTTCTTAAAAATGAGTAGCATTGGATATACTGAGAAACAAAAGCTCAAGTGAATGATACAGATAATGTGCATTGTTTGTTTCAAAAAATTTATTTTTGTGTGTGTTTGGCTACATAATTCAGGAAGTGAGGGTGGTACTTTTTAGTCTGTGTCGTGTCCGTCCCGTCCCGTGTCCCCCCCTTTGCTCACGTGTGATGTTTTCCTGTCTTGTGATAGGTTTTGCTGGATACTCAAAAACATCATTAGAAAACAATGTCCCTTGACTTTGATAGCGGAGCTCTACAAACTCAACATGAAGATGAAGACTATGACCAAGAGGATTATGCAAGAGAACAAGAGGTGAAAAAGAACAAATTATTTAATCTGACGGCTTGTGTATCTAGCTTCTTCCCCTTTTTCTCTTTTAAGTGTTTTAAAAAAAAAAAAAGTTTTATGCTGACTTTGGTAAGAGCAAACCAGAGTGCAGACTGTGCTTTGCAAGAGTGGCATAAAAAGTAAAGAGATAATGAGATGCTGCATCTTAAGAGCCTCGCGATGTCATATGTAGTGGCTGGAAGACTGTTACTCCTTGCCTACGCAGTAGATCAAATGCAAAAGGCTGGTGTCACCTACATTTTGTATTTCTTGACAGCTTTTTCGCTTACTAAAAATACTTGGAAGCAACAGCTCTCTTTCACTTGAAAATTTGGTTAGCTTAGAAAAGAATGAGGAATAAATATAATCAGAATTTTAAAATTCTGATTATAAATTACATATTTGAATATCTTTTTCTAGAGATTAAAGTTTTTGTGGGTTTTTTTTTTTAGTTGAAATACTTTGGATGTTTCTTTTCTTTTTGTTTCATAAAGAGAATTGCAAAACATGTGTTTAACATGAGTGTGCATGGTGGTTTCTTACAGGGTGGTAAATCATGTTCATGTCAGATAACCTCCCCAATATATACTTCAGGGATCATGGTCTAGAACGTAGGTAATGTAGACGCAAATGCTCACAAAAGTGTGTAGTAGAACAATAGCTGTTCAACTTGGAAAGATGCTATTGCAAACACTGTAGAGAATCTGATGTCTGTTCCAAAACTCTCTACCCAGATAAAGAATGTTGTGCTTGTGCAGGAGAACAAGTAGTGAAATAATTGTAGGGTTATTACAGTGGGTGAGCGAGAGAGTGCATAAATAGGATTATAAGTTCAGAGTGTTGAGGGGAACATCTTTTCTGTAATGGGAGGCTGGGAGAGCTGGGACTGTTAACCTGGAGAAGAGAAGGCTCAGGGGGAATTTATAAACGTGTATAAACACCTGAAGGGAGGATGTAAAGACAATGGAGCCAGGCTCTTTTTAGTGGTGCCCAGTGACAGGACAAGAGGCAGCGGGCACAAAGCAAGCAGCCTCTTTGGAATAAGTTAGTGATAATCCTTGTAAGTCATGTGCGTTTGAACTGGGGCAAGGTGGGGTTCACAAAACTGTACGTGTTGTAGATATTTCAGTGGGATGTGACTTTTAGCCTGCTAGGAGGCTAAAACACGGGCTCTGCTGTGTTCCCTGGTCGAGACGTAATCCAAGACTTTCTGCGTTAGTTTTTCTGCTGCAGCAGACCAGGTGTTTTTTTCTTGAAAACTGGGGAGGTCTACATGGTAGGAGAGTACTTCAACACTAACTTAAGGATTGGGTAACCCTTACCCACATTTGGAGTCCTGTGCTAGCTAACCTGGTAGGCTGAGCTCAGTTTAAATATGAGCTCTCACGATGATGTTTTGTGAACTGTGTATGCGCTGCTTTCTCTTGACTTTAAGTTTCCAAAGCGGTGCAAGACCAGCAAAACCTATTGTGCTTGAGTATGTCCTCAGCTGTTGCAAGTAGGGCGAAGGAAAGGCCATCTTCAGTGAATGATGCTGCCTTTTCTTTCCTGCTTCCTGGAGCTGAAATATAATAAAACTAGAGGGTGCTCTAATGATATGAGACTTCTTCGTGCCACTAGCGAATTTCTAGGAACAAACTTTTAGTGCTCTGTTCTGTAGACACCTAGAAAAGTTGTCCTTAACTTCTCACCTAACCTTTGGTCTTAGAGAGCATCTAAAATAGCATCTGAGAAAACGCGGTATCTTTAAGATAAACTTTTTGTAGATTTAACTTTTGTTTTGTGGATTTTTTATTTTTGGAGTTTGGGGGTGGTGTGGTTTGGTTTTTTTTTAACAAAGAAAAGACAAATCAGTATTTAGCATGGGGCAGCTAATGTTTCTGCTCTTGTTAACGCATGCTTTGAGAGTTTGGAGGAAAAAAAAGGGTTAGGGTTCAGAAACTGCATGTAATAACTGATATATTGTGTAGTTCTCAAATCGCCTAATAAGAAAAAGAGAGTGCATAGCTCAGATCTACAAGAAGCCCAATGTGTGGCCCTATATCAAAGCATCCCTGAAAATTGGAAGAAGAGGTACATTCTATGTGGGAATCATTACAACAAGTAAGTTCAGGAGTGTTTTGGTTGTGGGCTGTTTTTTTGTGGCACGACTGTCTGTTTCCAGAATTAGAAGCAGCGGTATTTTTCTCTGTTCGTGTCCAGTTGCTTGGTGACTTCATCTGAACACATGAGCAGACCACTAATCATTGCAGTGACGAGTTCTTGCATCTAGTAACGCTGGCTGGAAAGTTCTTACCTGGATTTCAATCCAGACTCCTCAGAAAGAGCATGTTTTGAATGTCCAGTACCTTTTTTGCCTGGGGTTTAGGGAGGAGAAACCTTGGCATGATTAGTTTACAAATCATTCTTCAAAAGTAGTCTGTCCTGGGACATGTCTATCGGGTGGCATTTCCCTTACCTTTTTGGTGCAGCTCTCTTCTTAAAAAGAGTTTGCCAGAAAAATCATTAGGTTGGTACTCTGGTCTATTAAGCATTCTGTGGTATTAGTCTCTCTGTGAATTCCAGTGTTGTGAACTTTCCAATGGAGGAAGAAAAGCAGGATTTTGTGCGAGTGGCCTATTTTGCCTGTCTCTTTGGACTGAACTTGTATGCGTTCTTTTGAAAAGCATATAATGAATGTTGTTTGTTCTGTTTCAGTTGCAACAACTATTGACAGACCTTCCCCATGATATGCTGGAGGACAGTGGAGACCAGCTCTCCAGCTATTCGGACTGTAGCATTCATGAGACTGAGGAGCAGTAAGGCATTTTACACCATTTTTAAATTATTTGTTGTGCTTTTGAGAATAGAGCAAAATCTCAGCTGATGAGGCATGTAAAAGCAATCCAAGTAAAAGGGGAGCTGTAGTGCAGTTTGCAGTATGGTTTGTGTTCCATGAGAAACAGTCTAGATGCCACTTAATTTAACTTAATTTAAAGAAGAGATGGTTTGTTTGGTTTTGTTTTTTGGAGTTATAAGTACGTAGTTAAGCTGCTTGTCTTCCTCTAGATCACATGAGCCTGGGAAGCATGATGGAAGGTGGAACGATCATCCGTTGATAAGTGATCCTCAAAATGTAAGCTTGTATGAGCAGTGATGTCATTAGTAGGAACTGCTTGTTCCTAACAACATAATAACATGCTAAATATTATTTAAATTCATTAAAGAAATACTTTTCATGTAGGTGACATGTTTTGCTATTCATTTGAAGTATTTCGAACTTGAGGGCTGGTAACCCCAGAAAAAGGGGGTGGGGGGGGAAATCTGCGTTTTGAGAGAGCAGTTCTAAAGCTCTTACCCTTTCATAGGGTTATGAACAAGGACAAAATCTGTACCCTGAACAATTCTTGTGTGACCAGCAAAGTGATCACGTTGAAAAACATGGAAAGAACTGGAATGGTCTACATAACGATGAAGAGGAGAAACATTTATATGATGTTAAGGAAGATTACTGTGGCCAGAACGGTCAAGAGGATCCTGATGATGTGTATCTTGGTAGAGATGGGTTTAATGCTCCAAGTTGCTATCAACAGAACAATGTGTATCATCTTCCAGAAAACTTCAAGCCATATGCAAATGGCCATAAACCAGAATTTAACAGTCAAAGTAAAATAATAAATTTTCCCAATGCTCCAAAGGAACATCTTAAGGTATTTCAGAAGCTGATGCGTTTTTCTGTCTCTTTTGGAAATTTTTCACAAGTCTTCAACTACTGGTAGTAATTTTTCTAAATGCTTTCAGTCTCTTATTATCAGTTTAAGCAGTGATGGGAGGCTTCTGTAGTCTATTTTGCATGTTAAAACAAGCAAGTGTTAAATAATTGGATTTTCATATTTGCATGTTATGATTTTTTTTTCTCTTGTTGGCTAGGTAGAATTCCATGAGGTAGAATGAATGTGACTCACTTAAGTGTGTGCTTACTCTATTGAAGTTGACACTTCACTGCTCTCCTAAAGTGGAAGCTTTCCTGAAAATTTCTGTCACATTTAAATGGTGTGCTGGATTGGAGCCTGAAAATGAAGAGCTGCTAGAGCTCTTCTTAATGTCAACCTGTAAAATGAAAAATACTTTCATGGAGTAAGACTACAGTTGTAGTTTTAATTTGTTTCCTCTTATGTATATATTGTCACAACAGCAATTTGTTGCATCTGACATTGTCAGTGGCCAGTCGCCAGAATCTTACAAAGTGACTTATAAACCATACCAAAACGGCATTCATCAAAAAATTCCAATAATCCAAGAAGGAACCAGAAGAAATGAAGTGTTTGAAGATTTGCAGCGTGAATTCTTGGGCAATGATGAAAGTAAGTGTTTGCTGTTTAGACTTGAAATAAGCTTGTGTGAAAAGTCCACTGGAAATCAGCATCAGAAAACCTGTTGACTTCAGTAGATTTTTTTAGTAAGAGGACAACTAAAAGTATGTTGGTGTATATGATCTCTTATTTTGCTCTAAGCTTACATTGTGATAGCACTAATTTTGTTTTTGTTTTGTTTTTCCACTTTATCTAGAAATCAGCTTTTTTTGATCAGGGTATTTGAGTTTCAGGCTATTAAAAAGGTAGTTTTGACTGGCGAGACTGTGAATGAAATTATTTTTGATGGCTTGATCTCAAGTCTTGCTGGCGCTTTGTATCGTTTATAATATTGGTAAATAACGACTTGCTGTACCTTAGGAGACATACTTTGCTTGATGCCACACTGGGCTCTTCTGTTAGGTACATTTCAAATGACAGAACTACTTTTGCTTCTTAGACAGCTTGAAAATTTATAGCGGCCGCAAGACTGCGTGTGAATTCACAGCACTTAAAACTTTGTCTGGGCTTGCTGTTAGATTTAAATTGCATAGGTAGTTCCTGCAATTCTTCAGCCATTGCTACCAGAGCCACTCAGGTGGTGTGAATCAAAGATGGATTAAAAATTGGTGGGATTTTGTGAACCAACAGTGAATTTGGCGATGTATGAAAGAACTATCTTGGGGCAGGAATTACTTGCGACCATGACTTTCTTGGTTAGTTGACTGTGCTGACTTGTCTGTATGCTATTTGAAATTTGGCAGATTCTTCAGAAAATATGCAGATTCTTCAACTTCAAGTTCTAAATAAGGCAAGAGAAAGACAACTGGAAGAACTTAATGAAAAGCTAGAAAAGAGTGCACAGCAGATTAGGTATTTGAATCATCAGCTTTCAATGGTCAAAGGTAAATGTTTTGTATGGGTCTCTAATTCTTAGATTTTTTTTCATATCTAGCAACTTTTTTATTCTGGCACTTTGACTTGGACGGTGTCTCTGCAGGTATTGATCAGATGTATAAACTTGATTTGGATTATGTGGACCTAACCCTCTCCCCCCAGCATTGTTTTAAAGAAAATTCTCTGCATTAGTGCCTGACTGCAAAACTGGCTTAACTTTACTGCATTCTCAAGACCACCATTGTATTCCAGAGTCCCCATGTACCAGGCATTAAAAATGCACAGAAAAGTGAGAGGTTTGCCAAGGTGGTGTGTTAAAAGTAAAAACCCAAACAAAACAAACCAACCCAAACTCCAGTAGTAGTAGTAGTGTACCTCCATGAAAAAACCTTTTTTTGTGCTGTCTGGTTTAACAAGCCATTTCCTGGACTGTACGTGGAGAGAAGCTCTTCAAAAATCATCAGAGCTGTAGTGGAGACTGGTGGTTGTCTTGGCCTCCCTTTTCTTACAGGAACAGACAAAAAAAGAGTCGTGAGCTTAAAAGAATTAAGAATACAATTTTTAGAATGGAAAAAGAGCAAAGGAGAGAGAAAACTTCAGCTGTCAACCATTTTGCTGTGTCTTGGCTGTTCCTCTAGAGGAATTACTTTGTTTCTCCCTTTAAATGGTATAAGGGATGATGCTAGTGCCTCGTGCTGACAGAATGGGGCTTGTTTCCAGTAGGGTTCTGAAGGTACGATATATCTGAGTGCTTCCAGCTATCAGAGGGAGAGAGTGGTTACTGGATGGAAACTGACTGAGTGTTTTTGTTCTGTCTTCTGCTTGTTGCCCACAGTATGAGACAGAGGGCTCGTAGCAAATGGTTCTGTAGAGCAGGGGTACTGAACAGTCGTGTACCATGAAGTTGCTGGGTGGCTGGCCATGTTTCTCACACAATTATTGTGTGTGTCTCTCTCTTAAGATGAAAAGGATGGTTTGGCTGTTAGTCTTCGTGAGTCTCAAAAACTCTATCAGAATGGAAAGGAACGGGAAGTGCATCTTGAAGGTCAAATAAAGGCCCTTGAAACTCAAATCCAGACTCTTACTACCAATGAGGAGCAGGTACTATAAATATTCTTCAACTGTTTATTGTGGAAGATCTCTACAGTTATGTTTGTGGTCCATTTGCATTAAACATAAATGCTAGTCTCTTGAAACTCTGTTCATGATCATTGCAGAAGCTGAATATATGATGAACGAATAGGATGCATCGGTGGAGAATAGTTTGTATTAAAATCCAGGCATTATCTGAGGACTCTTGGCAACTCTTGCACAAAAAGATTGAACTGACATGCCAAATATTGCAGCAAAAGTAAAACACTTGTAACTGGGAGCTACTGTAATACTGTTCCTACAGATACTGAAGCAATCCAAAGTGGCAGAGGTTGCCATGGAAAGCATGCAGAAGCAGCTGTTAGAACTTCAGCGATCAGATGCCCTTCAGCGAGCCAGAGAACAACACGAGGCCATTGTTTCAGGACTCAAGCAGAAATATGAAAAGCAAGTATTATCATTAGAGCAGAAACTTGATACTACAAAATCTGCACTCCGAGAGCAGGTGAGAAATGATTTTAGGACGCTGAGTACTGTACTGGAGAGGCGGTAGAGCTCCGCATGTTTCCTCAACAGCACTCCTTGACCTGTAATTCTAATAACTCCTTCTGGAAGCTGCTAAGCAAATGGAAAGGAAATTCTACATAAGTCTCAATATTATGAAGCCTATGTGGTATGTTTTTATAAATGTCTCCAGGCAGTTGTGAGCTCAAATTGTGTGTTTGTACATAGCAGATGCAGAGGAGGCAAGAATTCATTGTCTTTGTTTCTCTCCTGAGCTTTCATTCTGTGCACAATCTCTTTTTGAAAGAGTACCGGCAAATAAATCTGGGAAAGAAAAGAATGAATTAAGAAATTATGTGGTATCTTTGCTGCAAGAAAAACTATTTATTAAATAGTCTATCGCCAAGCTTTAGTCTCAAAATGATCAAGGACTCCTAACCACTGAACGGTCATTTTATTTTAGAAGTACAGACTTAAAAGGGGGGGGGTGGGGGGGAGGAGGCTGGCTTTAAGATGGAGTTTGATATGGATTGTGTCGTATGGTTATAGGGCTTATTAAAATTACTCTACCTGACATGTAATAAGAGTCCATTACACTATTAGAAATACTCAAGCAATGTAGTCTAGGCAGGCCTTAATAAATTGTCCTCTTCTTTCACATAAAAGAAATATGAATTTTTTTAATTCTAGGTCTGTAATTCTTGTCTCAACATAAATATGTATAAAAATAAATGGGTTGTATGTTTGAAAAGGTAACTAGCACTTGCTTGTAAACAAGAATGCACTACTAAATTTCTATCTATTAGTACCACAACAAAGTTTACACAGCTTTGTCTCTACTGAAAAAAAAAAAAAGTTTTTTATGGTAGTATGTTTGGAGTATTTAGAGAGAGATCTCCTGTTTTTGAGAAAAAATAGGAAAGTCAAAAGGCGTGAAGACGAGGTACTGTGCTTCCCAGATCTGTGCAGGTAACTGTAAGCAATGCCGTATGAAGGTCTACTTTGTATATCATGGGGGAAAAAAGCTACAGTTCCTCTTTTACAGAGCATTGCAACGTGCTAGCTTGGCTTAAGCTCAGTTAAAATTAACTAAATTGAGTTAGGCTCAGCCTTAATATACATGACGTGAAGGTTTGATTTTTCTGCAGTAGGCTAACTGTATGTGATTAATTACAGGGGATAATCTGACATGCTGAAAACTGCTCTAGGAAATACAAAATGGTTCACATCCATGTATATTTATATATGAGTATACTTACTGTCTCCTAGTGAAAACTTAACTTTGCTGTAAGAGATGACCTGTCAGCCAAGGGTAGCATTTGATCTGTGATTGATTTAGCTGGTCTCTGCCCCTTTAGGTATCTGATTCTTTCTCCTGTGCCTTGTATGTATTTGTATGACTCTTTCTATATCTGAAATTGTCCTAAATGGCTAGATGTTTGTAACGTGAGTAAAAATAATCTCTCTTCCTAGAAAGAGCTTTGCAAAAATCTAGGAGAGCATGTTAAGCAACTTGAAAAAATGCTGGAAGAAACCAAATGCGAAAAAACTGAAATAATAAATCGACTGACAAGAAGTCTAGAAGAAAGCCAAAAGCAATGTGCAAACTTACTGCAAACAGGTCAGCCTTTTACTCATACCTTACCCTTCCTTGCAGAAATGGCTCCAGTTTTTTGAAGTACAAAATTGCACATCTATGTTCCTGTTGAAACGGAATCAACATCAAGCTAAATGTGTACTAGACCACTTCCTGTGCAGTGCATTAGTCAGACTTAAATGAAGTTTAGTTAAGGCTAAACTGAAGCGTAAAAAACAATAAAAATAAAATAAAAATCAACCCCCTTTCCCCCAAAACAAAAAATCCTACCAAAATCCCAAACAGCAGCAATTAAACTATTTTTATATGTATTGTGTGCTGCATATGTGTGAACTTAGGTTTGGACTAAATAAAGTTTTGGACAGCCTTTGGGAGCAAGGTACTTGTTTTTGTATTAGGCATTTGACTTGAATTGCCATTCTAAATTCAAATCACTACAAGAAAACAATTGGTTTTGTGGCTGGAGGCTGGTTCTTGGAAACTTCTATCAGTAGGAATAGCATGTGAAATATTCTGCTCTTTGTGTATTTGACTTGTGCCTACCTTTACACACTGAAGTCTTTTAATAGTAACGTATGTCTTTTCGTAGAATCCAAACATCTTAACTAAATGAAATATCTGTCTTCCCACATCCTAATTTAAGAGCATGTTCTGTTTAAGAACTGTTGTAGTCTGGAAGAAAAATCTCTCTAGAGAGAGCCTAAATGTCAGGCTAGAGAAGGAGAAAAACCTTATTGGATTGGTGTTATGTAGTAAATAAGTAATTATAAACGTGATAGGGTATTTTAAAAGAGTGCAACTGCCAATTGAAGAAATGCCATGATTTTTCTGTGCTATATTCATCAAATGCCTTAAAGCAGTAATAAATTGGCAAACTGATAAAGCTAAATTTTTCACCTGGGGAAGAGGGGACCCAGGTGGCCTGTTTTCCAAGGTGGTCC